CATGGCTCAAATCATAGGTAGGGCCTCTCTCAGACACGGGGCAAATGGGAGGGTCTCACATCTCACGGGATAGTCCTCATCAGCGGCTATCAGTACTCGTTTGCAAGAAGCTCTACTATACGGGATATTCAATTGGCATCAAAGTTTGCATAGTTAAAACATATAGTTTTTCTTCCCTCCTCACAGCATGCTACAAGAAATAGCTCCAGGTAACGTACTATCTTTTCTCAAGTCCCCCACCCTAGCCGCTCCTATAGTCCTGAAGTCGGACCTTGCTTAAGGTTGAGCTTAAAGAACATACAGTCCAGAGATCCTCTGCAAGTCAAAGGTCTAATCATGCCTTAGATTAGAGTTTTACGCAGGTAAGGTTGTCTACGTATACTAATCAAACATACTCTACAGCTTTCGATATGTGTAAGTATAATATATGATTCAAGATAATAAATGTGTTACAGTTATAAATGGTTGCTTGCACAATTTTTGCCACATCTCTGAAACCAGCCTACAATTCTATAGTACTATACCTAAAGAAATTTAACATTACATGTGGACAATATACCCAACAGCGCCCATTTTTCTTTCTTATTCAGTATAAGCGCTGACAGGTGTCAGAGATCAGTGCGCCACAAATCATCCAATTCACTTCCTATCTACAGTACAATCTATAGGGGAGTTTCCAAATTAACCATTAAGCCTCCTGTTATAACCTACTAACATAGTTACTTGGTTTTCTACGATTCTTGAGTCCAAAAGGAGAATTTGCTGTCGGGAACATTTGACCTTTACCCATGCATCAAGAATTTAAGGAAATCAACAATTGGTTCATCATCTATACCAAAACTCAGTCGGACAATTTAAATTGTGCCCGGTTCAAAATTTATACTAGTATTCAAAGACCAGGTTAGCCAGGTCCCTAACTATCCCTTACTATCTTTAATAACTGTGATATTTGTTACTTTAAATACTCCACCCAGGCCTTAGTCCTCCTTATCGGGCCACGCATTCTATGTCAATACAACAGCAGCCTCAAAAAGGGCGTGGTACGACACACATAAGTAAATTTGGGAAGTTGGTTTACAATAGTAACGTTCCTAACCCAGGATAAAATCAGATGGTCATTTCGATAATGTGACTAAATGACTACTAATTGTTAAGTTAATCTTGTCTTTTATTTTTGCCCTCTTTTGCAGGCCTGACCTCTCGTCGGTTTCGGCACACCTCAACCGACTTTGGTCCTTATCGAACTACATACCTTTAATTGTACGTCCTCGAATTACCCCGTACACAAGTGGAAGGCAGAATGCCTGAATTTGTGGGAGGGGTTAATTTCCTATTTAAATCCCCATCTAATCCCAGCTTACCTATCGTCGGCGTTTTGAAGTTCCCCTCCCACCTCACCCTTTATTATTTACATCAATATACCAGGCGGGCCCTCTTTTGCAGGCCTGACCTCTCGTCGGTTTCGGCACACCTCAACCGACTTTGGTCCTTATCGAACTACATACCTTTAATTGTACGTCCTCGAATTACCCCGTACACAAATACAAAAGACGTATATATATAAATCATCAACATTTTACATTGGCTAGCCAGCCAGTCTTCTATTCAAGTTTTGTTCCCACTTCAAGGGGGGAGAGAGAAGAATCGAGTTACAAAGCTATTTTGGAACTGGGAAAACAAACTTGAAGAGAAAAAAAGAATCTAGACTGACTATCATAGAAGAACTGTGGTTTGTAAGAAAAATAAAGTTTTCAAATCACAAAGACTGTACAAGACTATTTTCTACAACTGAGACAAAAAGCACAAGATACAACGTGAATTCTAGAAGCAAGCACGTGGCAGAGATTGGCAGGCATCCAAAATCAAGCAAAGAACTGCGCAGCTGTGTGGATGAAGCAACGAATTAGACAGAGATAACTGATCTGGTGAGTAACATGGAATTCATAAATGATATTGCAGAGAAAAGTAAATTGCAGTTTGCATGTAATAGCAGCTATTCAGATGCTGTATTGTGGCAATCTTTATACACACAATGTGAAATTGCCAGTAGTGAAATTGACAAGAAATTGTTTGTTAATAAGAAAAAACAAAAGATCAGAAATGTTATGAAACTAGTCTGTACTTACAATGCATTGATTTGTAAACGAGATGCAGGTCAAGAAAATTTAGAATCAGCAGAAAAAGAAATAGATTTGAATGGATTAACAGAAGACAAATCAGATTTAAATGAACAGTGTAACAAAGTAACAGAGAGTACATGCTGTAATTGTGAGAGATTGTCAGAAACAGTCTGTGAATTAGAGGGAGTTTTGAAGTAAAGTAAGCAGTATGAGGGATAAAAACTCGACCTTCTAAGAACTCTCTATAATAGAAAGTTGTGACTACATCTTGTTCTATGCTCAATGAATGTGATACAAGTGATGTATGAATGGACAGGTTAGTTACATTGTGTTATGGTTTTAAGACAAACCATAAACAGAGGGAATGTAGAATATTGCATATTCTATGTTTCTATTGATTATATATGGATGTGTGGATTGACATAAGTAACAGATGGTATCAATAAGTCACAAGGCTTTTTTTGTCCGAGAGCTCTGGAATGTGGATGTGGGGGTCTTGTCCTTATATGTCTAGAGTTAAATGCTGACGTTAGTATGAGCACATCTTTATAGTAACAGAGGGACACGAGGTCCCGCCGCTTGCCACCAATTGTAACGGACCGTTTTGCACAAAAGGGGTAAAAACTGTTTAGGCGATCGGCCCCCTTTCCAGAGATGCAGGCACAGCTACTGCAGAACACCAAACACACGAACCGCCAATAAGTGAATGCTCCAAACACCCGAACTGCATACAAGGGAATGCTCCAAACACCCGAACTGCATACAAGGGAATTCTCCAAGCACTCGAACTGCATACAAGGGAATGCTCCAAACACTCGAACTGCATACAAGGGAATGCTCCAAACACCCGAACTGCATACAAGGGAATGCTCCAAACACCCAAACTGGAACCTCACGAATAGCTGCTAGCAGACGAACAGGAAAAGCACCCAAGCGGCTTACACTCCTGGCAGTCTCTATAAGCATACAGTAAATCCCCCCAAAGACGAGACAGAGCTCCATGTTGAGGGTTCAAGCAGTGGTCTGTTTAATGAGGGCTACCGTTCGTGCACTTCCACCGAACAAGAAGGGAGGTCTGCGGCTTCAGCGGTGTTCGCGCAAAACTGTGTCCGATTTCAGTACCATGAAAATAGAGACGAACACCGCTGTGCATTCGTATGTTTAAAATGACCGCGACCTCGTGTTCAGGATACGAATGGTGGCCACCCAGCATTCGTCAATTAAGCTGCGGTTAACCGCAGCTTCAGGGAGGTTAATTGCCGGCACACTCCAGCTCCCAGGTGGTCTATTCATTCGTGCGGTTGTTCGGTAGATTGAATCTACCGAACAACCGGCAGAAAAGCACGAATACAGCTTTTCTGCAGGCGAAACAAAGTCTTTTAACAGGGGGCCATAGTCCAGAGGCAGCTGACGAGCAACCAGGCTTTTCCAATGCAATGTGGCGAGATTGGTCTCGTCACATTGATAATTTATAAAGTATTTGAAGGATTTGACAAAACTCCTTCCAGAATCTAGAAGTAAATTGAACTCCCCTATCAGTGGTTATATCTTCAGGGATTCCACGAAGGCGAACATGTTCTTTGATAAAGATATGAGCAAAAGATAGAGCTGATGGAATCGTAGGGAGAGCAGTAAAGTGGACCATTTTTGTAAGACGGTAGACTATTGTAAGTACAATTATTACCTTCTGAGAGAGGTAAATCAACAATGAAGTCCATACTTATGAAAGACCAATTAGCATGAGGAATAGGCAGAGGTTGCAATAGTCCTGATGGGAGTTGATTAGACTTCTTTTTTCTTTGACATTATTCACATTTCAAGATATTGTTTTTTATATAATTGAAGTGTCCTTTTCATCCCTGGATGTAACTGTAAGTGGATTATCACGAATATAAGATAAAATTATGTTTCTTACGTGGACGTAGAGTAAATTGTCTTTGCAGTGATAATTCAGGAGAAGGGTCATCTATAGTATAAAATGAAGCGATTTCATGAGAGAAGGACGATATTAAGCCGATTATTTTTGAGGGAGGAATTATATTTGAATCATCCATAAAGTGAGTTGTTTCAAAGGAACGGGAAACTCTTCCATTTTTATTTCCAGGGTGATATGCAATATGAAAGTCGAAACGTTCAAAGAAGAGTGACCAGCTTGCAAGTTTAGGATTTAGACGTTTTGTGGAACGGATGTATTCAAGGTTTTTATGGTCCATTAATATGATGAAAGGTATCTGACATCCTTCTAGTAGATGTCTCCAATCATCTAAAGCGACTTTAATTGAGAGTAATTCCTCTTCTCCAACGCTGTAATTCCTTTCAGAAGGTGTGAGTGTGATAAAGTGCCATTCGCCACTTGGTCTTGGAGAGGCCTGCTTGTCAGCCTCTTGCCTTGTGACTATGGCCCCTGGGAGATTGTGCCCTTTAACCCCTTAAGGACACATGATGGAAATATTCCGTCATGATTCCATTTTATTCCAGAAGTTGTGTCCTTAAGAAAAACATTTAAAAACATTATTTGGGCTTATTTGATTTTGAAATACTTTCTGCCCATTTGAATACATGGGAAGGTGTGCACCTCCCCCGTTTCCTATCTATTGTTCTCCAGCAGGGCATTGTCCCAGGGACACTGCCAGACCAGTTGGAACTTGCTGCTTTGTCCCTTCTCGGTCTCTCATCAGCTCTTGCTAAACTTTAACCCCATGGCGATTTAACTGTGTTCGTGGGATCTAAGTGCTGTTTGGATATAGTGAGCACTCAAATCCAAGCTATCTGGGGATAGT